GAGATCAACACTAAGTTGAGGTGAGGGCCTAACGTGGCATTTCAGGGGATTCCTTCAATAAATGTTTGCCCTCAAAATGTAGGGAGCTGGACTCAGCAGTCCAGGAAGCCCTTCTAGTCTTACTTTCCTATTTACCTAAACTACATAAGAGCTGATAGAAGTACTTGCCTAAACTAAACTGAAATGGAAGGAACTAGGTGTTCTGCAATGGTCTAAGCCAATGTTCTACATGAAAACAGCATAAAGATCAAATCCAGAATACCTAATGGACAAAGAGTGGAACTGGAACAAAAGGAGTCAAGGTGAAAAAGCTGTATATAGCTACTCCACAGCAATTTTTTTCAGACTAAGCCCTGAAGAGACATGTCATCAAGGGAAAAGACCAAATATCATTTAAGGTAGAAGAGATCTATGGATGTAGACAACCACCACAGAATCAATACTACAACATCTTTTGCTAAGGCAGTCAGCCACTTCCTAGTGCTTTCCATCTCATACTGAGCATTAATTCTCTTCAACTCTGAGTGGAACATACTACTTGCTAAGGATCCCATGTCTATCTGTACCTGTAGATTCCTTCTCTTTCTAGAAGCTTTCACTGTTTAGACAGAAATCCAAGCCTTTACCCAGTATGCTTCACATGAAGGGCCTGCAATAGAACTACAGTACTACCAACATACTCGGAAAAGGCAAAGTACATGGTAAATCTGCTAAAGTTCCATACATTTATATAAAGCTCTGTTTGGAGGCCCTTCCCCAGTAACGAGGATAATGTGGACAATCAGCCAATCCCCAGAGCTGCAGATTTTCTCTGCACACCTAGAGGACAGTTTGAAACCAAAAGTTAGGAGAAAATCAGTATTCCAGCATTTTAAGTTTGTTTTACCTACAAATTGAATTACAGGTTTTTAACATCTCTGAAAGCCAGACCCCTTCTATTTAAGTGCCTTTTTTGCAAACCTGGCACATGATGCCCAGAAAGCACAACAGTGAGAAAGCCTAGACTTAAACTGGTGACTTAAGAGCCTAAAAGGCTCTCTATTTGGAAGAACGTTTAACTTAAAATGCCCAAGTGCATATCACGTCATCATTATCTCTTAAAGAAAAGTCCAACAGAATTCAGCAGAGAGGAAACCCAGAGTATAATATGAAAGGGTTCTATGGACATGCAAGTGGGTTATACGAGAAATATTTCTCTAATCCAGTCAAAGTACCCCACAGAATTCTGAAATAATTCTCCATTAAATTGCATACAATGGTTGAAAAAGTCTATAAAGACATCAAACATTAAACTCTCTAGGACTTTTCAGAGGAGTACTATAAATTGGCCTGTCAGGCCAGGCTTCTCTTGGTCTACTATCTGGTACCATGTAAACCAATACAGCCTGTTCTATGGCCAGGCTGTCGGCGACTAAACTGGCACCCCAACCTGGGCTAGTCTGGGTGAGGAGGGATGTGGACACCCAGCGATCTAAAAACAAGGCCTGTCAAAGGGCATGAGATCCCTGTGAGCCAAATGCCATCCATGCCTGGAGAGGAGACGAGCACCACCAGATCACTTTGCCCAAAGAGTCACCGATGATGCAGAGCAACTCAACTAACCTCAGAGTGGAGGAGGGTTGTTACTAGGGCTGTGTGAAACACCATCATTTTGTTTCAAATTCCATTTTGAAGGGACAGTGTTTCATTTCATCATTTGTTTTGTTTCAAAGCAATGTCCCTTTCGTTTCATCAAAACTATTTCTCTGTTTCAACGTTTCGCCCATAGGTTATAATCAGGAATAATGAAAATGCCTAAACCATTGTCATTTATCGCCTGATTCAGATGCAAATTGTAGGGATGGTAGCCCCTTCTGAGGGCATGAAGCCTGCCAAGATTCAAGGAGATAGGTGCAGATTTCTCAGAAACCACACCTTGAAGTCTTGAAAGCAACATTTGCCAGCAGCTGTGCTCCATGGGGCTGGCAGAACAGATCAGAGCCCAGCAGCAGGAGGCAGGCAGAGTGGGGCTGGGCCCCATGGGGCTGGCAGAGCCGATTGGTGCACAGCCTGGCAGTGGGAGGTGGGGAGAGCCGGCACTGCACTCTGATCAGGTCCGCCAGTTCCATGGAGCGCAGCCCAGTAGCAGGAGGTGGACAGAGCCAGTGCTGTGCTCCACCTCCCACTGCCAGGCTGAGCTCCATGGGGCTGGCAGAGCTGATCGGAGCATAGCCCAGCAGCGGGAGGTGGGCAGAGCTGGCGCTGCACTCCATTCAGCTCCGCAGCCCCACGGAACACAGTCCAGTGGTGGGAGGCGGGAAGAGCTGGGGCTGTGCTCCATGGGGTTGGTGGAGCCAGCCGGTTCTGCCCACCTACCAGCGCCGAGCTGTACTCCATGGGGCTGGCTGAGCCGAGCAGAGCGCAACCCGGAGGTGGGAGGTGGGTAGAGCTGGCACTGCCCTCTGGTCAGCTCCACCAGCCCCACGGAGCACAGCCCAGTGGTGGGAGGCAGAGAGAGCCAGGGCTGCGCTCCCCGCTGCGCTGAGCTACATGGGGTTGCAGAGCCGCTCGGAGCACAGCCCTGGCTCTCCCCTGCCTCCCACCACCGGGCTGCTTCGAAACTCGAAACATTTTGAAACTTTCAAAAGATTTTGAGTGCCTTCATTTCATTTCAAAACTGTTTCGATGCTTTTTGTTTCATTTCAATTTCACTGTTTCAAGCTCAAAATGTGTCAAAACAGCTTCGAAACAAAACACTTGGCGAAATTTTGCACAGCCCTAGTTGTTACAGCATCTAAAGTGCCCCAATGATCACAGTGGCCTCAAGACTGACTTGACAAAAAATTGGCTGATCCAAATCATGGATCTCAATGCTGCCGTTCAGACCTATTGTTCTAGTACATGCAAGGGAAGAAAGGCCTGGATGATCAAATCTAACTAACAACCAGGTTGTTACAATGGGACTCATTCATAGCCCATAAAGGCAAAGAAAAATCTTTACACGCTTTATATCAGGCTCTAAGGTCCTTAAGTTGATAGAACAGCAATCCAACTGTATGCACTTGCAGAACTAAAGAGCATCGTTGTAGAAGATGCATATATTTTTTAAATCAAGGAACATGAAGAGCTCTCTTTTCTTTGCCCCATTCTTGGTTTAGGCTAGCTAACAAGCATGTTTTCTCCACAGGTACCAAGATCAAAGGACATCAGCAGTCAAACACACTTGGAATCATTTGCAAAAGTAAATGGTATCTAGGATTGTTGTCTGCCCTGGGTACCAGCCTATCCTCCACAGATAACTACAGTTCACTGGGAACCTCCCATCAATATCCTTTCCATTTCTCCCTCTTCTTTTTCCTCAGCAATGAAATAGGAGTGGCTTATTTTATTGCAAGGAAACTTAATTGTAATCAGTCTCCTTAAAAAAAGGTTTTGAAAAATGTCCCCTCATTAGTTGCTTAACCTTCCTGAATAATTAATGTATCAAAATTTTAAAATAGTAATTTGTCTTTGCTGCAGCATGTCATAAAAATGTGCAGTAATGTAACCAAAGCTCAGTCTTCTGGAAAGCTGGGAAATCAATCCCATTACCTGTGCTAAGTCATGATGAAGAATAGGGGTGAGAGTACTTAACTCTGGATCATTATTATTTAAAGCCTTCCGTAAGAAATGTCACCAAATGTGCAACATACATCACGATGTGGTGACAACACCTCAAAATTAGTTGGGTTTTGTTTTTTGGTTGTTTGGGGTTGTTGGGGTTTTTTTGGTTTTTGGTTTTTTTTGTGGGGGGGGGGAGGGGAGGGGTTAAGACTCATGTTTCTTAGAATTTCTCCTGAATTAGTCCATTTAAAATTTCCTCCTGCTTTAAACATACAAAATAGTGGATAGACATTCTTTGTTTTTAAGCTGCAGCAAAAGTAAAGCATGTTCTGCTGTTCAAAAGCAGGATCGCAGCATTCTGCCTAAGCTGTAGGAAGGCCCATTTGCTTATCATGCTGAGCTCACTGGACTATATCCTACCTTAAATTTCAAGAAAGCAACACTCACTGCAGTCACTGAGGCCAAAATCAAACCCTCATTGGTCTGCAATTAAACAGCAAATCAAGCCAGCTAGCATAACACAAGCTATCCTCTTGGAACATTGATCTTTTCCCCTTTCCTCTCTCCCAAAAATTCCTCCACTTGAAAATGTCTAATACAATGAAGGCAATACATGTTATTCAGTGATTCTTCTCCTAAGATTTTTTGTTTGTGAATCTTGGGGCCCAACTCTCTACTGCCTTACATCTTGGGTCATCACTTCCACTTCTGGAATAGTCCATAAAATCTAAACAGCGTTTTGTCTACCATGCACAGGTTGGGATCATTACATAAAGTGCAAGGCAAAGAAGTTGGCACTGGGCTGGAAATTTGCAACCAATTTCTGTTCTCTGATTTGCTGAAGCCAGATCTATCAAATCTGTACAACTGTTACCAAGACCAGCATGCGGCTCATCCCAGAATTTCAATATATCCCAGTCCTCTCACACTAGCAAAGGCTGGCTCTTAAACTTTTTATAAGAACTCCTGTTTGATGGACTTTCAGCCTTTGTGGGTGGTGTAATAATCCTGGTGGAGAGACAAAAACACTCCCATCTGCCTGATGGGAAAACAAATCTGAAAATAAGCCGGAGACCATACTCTTCAAATAGTGAGAATAAAAATAAAAACAAGTGCTAAGTTAGGATTTTTAATAACCCCTAAACTGAAAATGATCAGTAAGAAAGATACTAAATAACAGCACTGGCTTTATATTACTCTTACAGGCCATTTCCTTTTATTCAGATATGTATTTGTTACACCCTCTGAAAGGCAAGTCTAGCAAAATGACTCTAAGTTTATCTTGTTTCCTCCACTCCCTTTTCTCACTGGCATTACTAAGGTTTGTAACAATAACAGGATGCAGGGATGCAGGATGGGAAAAGCTGGCCCCCAGCTGGGAAACCTTGGAGACTGGAAAGCTGAACACTCCCAGTATTACCTAGTGAAATTAAATCCTGATTTTATATCTGTTCCTCACTCTCCGAGTGGTGCTCATGATTTCTGGATATTGTTCATTTCATGTTCTTAATTTGGGATAAAACTGAAGCTTCACCAACTCCTGGGGATCAGGTAAGGGACAGAGGATATTATTACTTTTAATTTCAAGAATTTTTCCTCCCGGATGGCTGACAGTTTGGAACTGGCTTGAAATTATTTGATGATTCTGAAGTTCATGTTCTGCATGTTAGATGTATTTAGAGCACCCTCGGGGCCCAGTATCGCTGGCAGAATAACCATTGACACCAATGGAGTTACTGCCAATTAACACTGAAGTGAGAGGAGAATCGGGTTCTCTACATCTGCATCTAATGGTCCCAGACTGTGAAGAATATTTAGACTCAAAGAAGTGATTCTTTTGGTTCAAAATGATCAAATTATGCTGCCAGTAGATGTTTTCAATAAAACAGAAAAACAGAAATCAACGCAACAAATTGCACTTGGGGACCCTTTAAGAAGGGATTCCAGTTGCATTACAGACAGCAATAGGCTTGATATTTTGTCATTGAACTAGCATACACGATGTTATATCTTGTTTTTTTTAGACATAAACATATTGGATGAAGGTTGCATAGGTCTTTGGCATTCTTTTTCTGTTCAAAATGTAACAGTGGAATTGTAGTATGGTTGGAGCTAAGAACCAAAGGATAGCACCTCTCATGTTCATTGGCTGCCACTAGGCAGATCTGTATGACAGGAGGTTCACTTTTAAAGACTTACAGTGACATTTTCAAAAGCAGCTAAGTGACTTATGCTCCTAAGTCTTATTTTCAAAGTGAATCATGCATTTTAGGAGCCTGATCTCCACTAACTTTCAATGAAACTAAGGCACCTAATTGGTTTAGGCACTTTTGAAAATGTTACCTTGGATCATTCAAGTTTTATGACACTCATTTAACAACTAGGGGAAAAACCTCATAGATTTCTCTAGGAAACCTCTGGCTTTCAGCTGTCCAAATTTACCATGTTTTCTGGTAAGTTATTTCATGCAGAAAGCCTTGACACAAGACATCAGTTGAAAGGGTTTTTATGCTGCCATAAGCATATAATGTTTTACACAGGAGATCCCTTGACTAACAAGTTTGCAAAGACAAATGTTTATGAATAAGAGATGAATAAATGCATCTTTTTGGGTTGAAATTATAGTCCATGTGTCAGGAGATATAGTGCCTTACTGTGCTGTGTTTAATGCTGTATAAAGAAAAGGAAAAAATGAAGGCTTCAGGAAAAAGACAGAATAGGTTGAACTTTTGTGAGAAAACCTGAAGAAGTCTCAGCTATTCAAAGCATTTAAGTTGGCTGCTACTGAAGTTAACATAAGTAGGATTATTAGATTCATTTCTGCCTCTTCTGATTATAACTGCTGATATTATAGTAGTTGTTATTTACATTTATAAAAGCATCTACCCTGTGGTTCCTTGTGGGGAAAATTTAGGAAAATCTATTAACAGAAGCAACTCAAGATATATACAAAATCTTAACATGTTAATTAATACTATGAATCAAAACAACTAATACAGCAATGCAAATGCTTGCTTTAAAAAGGTTTGGTATCTTTAAGGGTGGCTTTGAATCCTGAAACAAGGGGCAAACTAAAGAAGAAAAGGACATAAGGCTAGGTTTCTTCTGTTTCTGTTCCCCACAACCTACTGAGAACAGTCAAAGAGGTTGCATGCAATAAAACAAATGAACTGGAATACAAAAAATAAACTCTCAGTACTCTGATGCTAATCTGAGCTCTGTATGGAGTGCTCAGATTTATTTGGCTTTGGAAATGTTACTGCACTGCAAACTGAAATATTTTTTAGCTGATGCTTTCCATTTTATAACAATAGTACTTCAACATTATGTTAAAACCTTCATTTCAATATTTAAAATGAAAATTGAGCCACAACAGATCTATTTCATTGAATAATCTGGATATTTTGTATAGGAACAAAAGCTAGGTTCAATACCCAAGGAGAAGTATATGCAGAGAAATTTTCATTTAAATAGTTAATAGCTTTGAAAAAATATTTGCCAAAAGAACATGCCTGTCTCATATCCTGCTTTTGTTGAGAGGAATAGAGCAGCTCAAAACAGGATATAAGTACATGGATTTGTATACTTTCTATCTCAGAAGCTCATCTGGTTTATAGCCCTTACCAAGATAGACTATAAGAATATAAATTAATATTCAAAAGAGAATACTTTCCCTTTTCAAAAGAAAAAGAGAGAAAAAAATCATAGAAATACCTTTTGTTGTCAGGTTACTTATCTAAAACACTTAAAGCAAGCAGATAGTGCATTATTTTTGTGGAAGGGAAGGCCTATTAATGTTTAGTTATGACATATTTTTAAAGTGATTAATCAATATGATTACTGTAGCCATCTTTTCATCATTTTGGTTTCTAGAAATTTATTTCAGAAAGGTCCAAATTGTAATGGCAAGCAGGAAAAGAAAAAAAATCCTGCTAACTTCATGAGATATCTGTGTTAAGTGGGAATATTTCAAGCTGGGTGAAAAACATAAGATTGACAGGGTACTTCCCATTCTTCTTTCCTGGATGTTTAAAATGAGATGAGCCCTAATAGTTTATCACACAACGCATGCTGGGATGATTAGTTTTCTTCCTGCACTATTATGTGTCAGAAACTGGTTATTTGTACAAATTGGAGATTTGCCAAGCTACAGAGAGGGAAGATTTGTAAAGGCACAAAAAGACACTCAGAAACCCAATTCACATCAACTCAAAGTGGCAGTTGGGCTCTTACCTCCCACTGATGCCTTTGAAAAAGTCCCTCCAGAATCAGACTTGTATGTGAATATCAAAAACACCCTGCTTAGGTCTAGACCCCAAATTTAGTTTGGCTCACTACTAAGAGAAGGGGGTGTTTGCTCAGCGCTGCTGTACAATCAGGTTAATAACTTCTAGCAGTGTTGTGGAGTCAACAAGCCTGGTGGACCTGCCCTAGGACCCTTTCGGCTGCAAACAGAAAAGATTTAGAGTCACAGGGTGATAGGATCAGCAGTCATCCTATCCCAGGAGTGGGAGATATGAATATGTTGAATCTGTATTTGGGAATCTAAAATTTTTTCTGTTGAATCTGCTAGTGCCAATGCTTGTTGAGTTTTACTTTATGTCCTCAATATATTCTATGTATGCCTGCCAGTCTGGCTGCACTCTTTCCCATGCTTTTGCCTGGAGTCACTTATTTATGAAGGCCTTGGGAGCAGAATAACAAGGATCAGTCCCATAAACTGTGCCATCAGTATATTATTGGATGTGCTTTGTGCTCTAACACCCAGTGGGTAGTGTTGCAAGTGGGAGGGGAAAGGAGAGGAGCTCTACTGGGGCAGCCCTCTCCAAACTGCCTGAACAATGGCAGTAGGACGGGGAATTCTGGTGCTTTCTCAAAACTTCCTGTGATGTCAGGAACAGCTACTCCAAGCTCTCCAGATAGGAAGGGGATGGAGATGTTTGCAGAGGGTTGGGGGCTGAATCTCCAGCTGGGGGGCATGGGGAGGATGGAGGGACAAGTTAATGAACACTAATGAATGAAGTAGACTAGTTTGACCCGGCTCCAACCACACAATCACTCCAATCAGTGGAATCCCTAAACTTCTTCAAGTACCCGCTTCCAGGCCACCGTTCTGAGGGTGAAGCCTGGGACTGTGGAGCAGTCCACAGCAGATAAGCAGGGATCCTGGTTTTCCATTTCATGGATTGTCCCCATTAAAGGAGAAAAACATGGGTTTTCCCATTGAAGTAAGAAACCGCGGGTTCCCCTTGCAGGTTGGCAAAATTCCAGCCTGTAAGGAGCTGCTCAGGATTGGGGACAGGGCAACTGGAGGCAGGGGGTGCTACATGCATGTTTGCATGCACACACATGTGGCTGGCAATACAGCTAGGAAGGGTGGTGGAAGCAGCTCCATCCACATATGTCTATGGGATGGGGGGGAGAAGGGGGGCAGCGCTGAAAAAGTTGCAGCAGGTGGCAGGAGCAGTGGCAAAAATGGGTTGGCATGGCTGGAGCAGGCAGGAACATGCAACCATGGGGCACGGCCAGGAAGCAGGATGGAGCCATGGTCAGCTTGTCCCAGGGGAGGTGCAGTTCATCCCAGGGGGAATGCGTGGCCTCAGGGCCCAGCCAGGGAGCAGGACTGAGCCACAAGCAGCTTGGTCCCGGGGGGGGCAGTTCATCCTGGGGGGGAATGCACAGTCGCACGGCCCAGCTGGGGAGCAAGACAGAGCCACAAGTGGCTCATCCCCGGGGCAGAGGTTCATCCCATGAGGGGTGGCCTCCCACCGCTACGTGCACTTGTGGGGAGCGGTCAGGCCCCATTGTTCACCCAAATGCCGACCACAGAGAGCAACCCTGTGCATTCATTTTTCAGGAAGAAGCCAGAGCCTGGGGGCATCGACTGAGCTGCCACCAGGTGTCTTTTTTTTTTGTTGCAATTTTTGTAATTTTCTTTTAGGGCTGGAAGGGACCTCAGAAGACCATTTAGTCCAGCCCCCTACCCGAGGGGCAGGAAATCAGCTGGGTTCATAGGATCCCAGCAAGATGAGCATCCAATTTTCTCTTGAAGGTGTTTAATGTAGGTGCTTGAACCACCTCCAATGGCAGGCTATCCCAGACCTTGGGGGCTCAGACAGTAAAAAAATTCTTCCTTTTGTCCAGCCTGAAACGGTCTTGCAGTAGTTTACAACCATATGACTTTGTCATCCCTTAGGGCACTCTGGTGAACAAACGTTCCCCCAGATCCTGGTGGTCACCCCTGATAAACTTGTAGGTGGCCATCAGATCACCCCTGAGCCTGCGCTTTTCCAGGCTAAAGAGCCCCAGGGCTCTCAGCCTGTCGTCGTAAGGTCTGTTTTCCTGACCTCTGATCATGTTTTGGAGGGAGTTCCTAACGGGCAGCTGGCAGGGGCAGGTTAGGAGGTGGTAGGGTACCCTGAGCTCCTGGGGCCAGGGCCAGGCAGGAGGTGCTGGCTGCAGGGAGCTTGCAGCTACTCTGCTCCCCTGCCTATGGGACACTGTCACAGAAGCTGCTTCTTTCCACACCCATCCCCCTTCCCCACACACTG